GTGTTGTGTGTGTTGTGTGTGTGTTGTGTGTTGTGTGTGTGTGTTGTGTGTGTGTTGTGTGTGTGTGTGTGTGTTGTGTGTGTGTGTTGTTGTGTGTGTTGTGTGTTGTTGTGTGTGTGTTGTGTGTGTTGTGTGTGTGTGTGTGTGTGTGTGTGTGTGTGTGTGTGTGTGTGTGTGTGTGTGTGTGTTTGTGAGCCATGACCCTAAATTATCATTACCAGCTTGTTTGACATTCAACGAATGCTTGGTAAAGGCGTAAGTTCCCCCCCCCCCCCCCCCGGTCGAGTTGCCATTCCCAACGGTCCCATAGTCGAACCAAACCATGCTATATTACTATTTCCTATGAGTTAAAGAAAGAATCGAATTATTAGGTGTAAGAAAAGTCAAATGTTGTTTGGAGTCTCCTCATATTGCGCTTTATTGTTATTCATAGAAATCTCAAGCAAAGTTACAATGTATGAAAAGTACGACAAACAGAAGAAACCTAGAGTGCTCAACAGAAAGATTCAGATCGCCTTGACTGTGGCAGGTAATTGTGATTTCTTAAGTCTACATTACATTTGCCATGCTATAACCTTACATGTATAGGCCTACTTCCCGTCAATCCCTTGTCGTACTGCCTCTGTGCGGAGGCCATTTAAGATGTCAAAAAAAAAAAAAAGAAAAAAATCGCTCAGAAATGTGTATGCGATTTTCATCTCACGGCGACTGTGGCAAATGTAATGGAGGTTTAATGCATTTAAAAACCCCTTCACTAAATCAGCAAAAATGATCAAAACATAAATTTATCTGTATCTTGGAATAGTCTGTGATCCTAGATAAAAGAGCATACCGAAAACCTTTTTTTTCTTCATAAAGCTTAATTCTTCTCACAAACAATTTGTTGTCAAATGACACCTCTTTACATCAATGTCACAGATGAAAAACCTCTGTGGAATAAAAAGCTTAGTACTTGTTTTATACCTTTATAAATATATGATCAAATATTTCTATTCATACAGGCGTAAAGGTTTTCAAATTTAGAGGATTTCAAACAAAGATTACAACCTCCTGCATGAAAAATACGGTGGATTGTTGATTTATTTCTGCGTTTTGTATAATTCAGGCACGTTTTCTCTTTCAGTTATTCTGGTAATAGTTATTACTGTCTCTCTGGCAGTGACTCTGATGCCTACCCGGAATACGAGGGAGGCTCTCATGCAGACGGTTAATGATATACTGGACAGAGTGCCACTAGTTGATGGGTAATTGATAGGTAGTTCTAGAGGGGGTTGGGTCAGTGATTTTAAATTGTTTGATTGTTTGAATATTTACTGGAACAAATCGGGCTGACGCCTACGTGACCTTGTATTTTTGTTTGATATTGTAATATCACTCGGGCACGGGGTGTGAAAAATTTATATCATTCCGTTCAAATACTGTCTGATTGAATAATGCTTTACATCGTCTGCTTTCAATTATATCTGTTGCATTTTCTGTGAGTGGGTGTGTATTTGTCCGTGTGTTTGTTCAAAATCACTCAGTGCCTTGTCGTCTTGAATTGTCTAAAATACATGTAACAACTTTTTTAAAGATCATATGATGTCGGTTACAATTGGGTTAAAAAGATATGCTTGTTCGAGTTTCACACATCAGTGGCAGAGGGCGCACAACCCCGACGCAAATTCCCCTCTCATCCCCCCCCCCCCCCCCCGCTTCGACAGTACATCTTTCTGTTTCTCAAAAAAAAAAAAATAATAATAATAATAATAAAAACAGCATAACTAGCAAAAGAAGACAAAATGAACCAAATTTTTCATCCCTGTTTCCAGATTGTATAGTGATTTTGCCCTTGTCTGATATTTAATACATGTAAATACATGTGTAGCGAACCCCCCTTGTCTAAAAATGGACCTGCCAGTGAAAACAGATCACTCATTTTCCGCACACGTCCTGAACGCTTTTTTTTTTTAAATTAATGAATTTGAATTTTACACGTACTGTTTCAGTCATAATGATTTCCCGTGGCATATACGGCTAGACACTGCCATCAATGGAAGCTTGGCACGCTTAAATATGAGCCAAGACTTGAGAAAGGTGCTGAAGTATAGAGCGAAGTTCCATCCCAGTCAGACAGACATACCCAGAATAAAAAAGGGACGCCTTGGCGCACAGGTGAAAGAAATAAGCGTGTTTTCTACTTCCTTTTTTTTTAAATTAAATGACAATATATTCTATTCATTTAACTAATCCATAGGTTTGTTAATAATATTTTCTGTGTTAAATGTACCACCTGTCCATCTGTTTGCTTAAGCTGATAAGTTCCTGCTAGATCACACGCACGCGCACACGCATATACAGGTAGTATATTTGAATTAATGTCCTTAATACATTAAGGAATGTTATCGAATTCACATGCAAACCGCCTGCGTGATGTCGCACCTGCTGCAATCCATGAGGCGTTTATCAATGTGACAATAAAAACAAGTTTGTTGCCATCTTATCAGTGCATGTCCCTATTAACTTGTCATTTTTCCCCTTAGTTTTGGGTGTCATTTGCGTCGTGTGAATCCCAGTTCAAGGACGCCACTGTGAAAGCCCTGGAGCAGTTGGACCTCATTAAACGAATGATTGCGCAGTATTCTGATGTGTTTGAATTTGTCACCACAGCGGATGGTAAATCTCTCTCTCTCATTATTATCAGAATTTACATTTCGAATAAAAGCCTATAAAACCAAATGGAATACCACACACACACACCCAACACACACACATGCACGCACACTACACGCAAACTCTCGGTTTCGTCTGCATGCTTAAAACTAAAAGGGATAAATGTATCAACTTTTGACAAAAAATGGATTTTTCTGGAATAAAGGATATTTTCCCATACCAACCAATGGTTAATTATTCCATCCCGACGTTCATAGTTAGTCCCTGTTTTTTTTTCTAAAAAATAAATTTTTTTGTAATGTTCCCTGAAGAGATTATTACAGAGTGTAGCCATCTATGGAGGTCACGTGATGTGATGGCAAGCACAGTCTAAAATAATTGCTAACTGCGGTTTTGGAGGTAAAACAGAATTCATAATATTTCCATGGGTTGTTTACAGTGTATTTATTTTGAAATATCATACGAACAGTTTTTATCTCTTTAACTAAAATGGTACATATAATTCCAGGTATTGAATCTGCCCATAAAAGCGTTAAAGTGGCCAGTCTCCTGGCTGTGGAGGGCGGCCATCACATCAGGAGTAGTCTGGGTGTACTGAGGATGTTCTATGAACTTGGAGTGCGTTATATGACCCTTACCTGGAACTGTAATACACCATGGTGAGCTGTTGTAATAATAATAATGATTATTATTATTATATAAATTATGAAAATTATCTAACACAAGCCGAAAATCTTACACAAATTTAGCTTACAGTCAACCTGGACGTAGGCCAACTTCAGACTGATCTGATACCCTCTACAAGGGTGGCAGATATAATAGGCACATTTTCCACAGAGAATCAACTAATTTATCTAAAGACATTACATGTGAATATCTTGTGAAAAATCAATCCTTGACCTTGGTAGAGGGTACTGATGTGAGAAGTTGTTACTCGCTGACCGCTAGGTGGTGTAGCGGCTAGGACCCTCTTGTAAATGTCAGATAAATCGACCCCCGTCCAAATTTATGCTTAAGCTAACGACATGAAGGATTTTTGGCCTGTGTTTGATCATTTTCATTAATGATCCAACTGCCAAGTTAATGAATATTTTTGCTCAATAACAGTAATAGTTTAATAATCCATTGTTAAAATCCCAACCCGTAAGCTGAAGTTATCTATATTTGTTGAAACTGAATATGATATTCAGAACATAACACGATAATTTACAGCTCTACACAATTTTAATTTAAAATTCAAAAACTGAATGCCGTTTAATGTGAGATCATTTTCAGGGCTGACTGCAACGTCGCTACCAGGCAACGAAAGCCTGTCCACCACGGTCTGACGGACTTCGGCAAGGTAAGGCAGTGGCGGATACATAGGGGTAGGGAATTGTCATTCGAATGCCCTCTATTTTTAAATATAAAATAGCGAAATAAACACGCCTCTTCTGTATAGAGGGTCCATTGCGTATTTTGTGACCCGTGAAAGCCACTTTTTTATATCCCGAAATGCGTGAACGTTCACATTATTTAGTGTGATCTGTGAAGCACCCTATTCCCGTGTCTCGTGAATACGGTTTTTTATTCTTTGCCCTTTGTGAAACGAAGTCAGTGTATTCGGATACTCGTGAATTTCAGGATTTTTGACCCATTTTATCAGTGAAATCTGAAAAAGGTCTTATTTAGTGTGATTTGTGAATTGTTTATTTTATTTCCCGTGAACTGTGATCACTACCCCTCCCCCCTCCCCCAATTGGACCCTCTTTATAAGGGAGAATTTTGCCCTTGGCGACTTTGATCTCAGGAGATTATAAACGGCGCTATATCACTCAAAATTACAAATATTTATTAAAAAGTTTGTGATTCTTGTTTTCTTTTTTCTAGATCGTCGTGAAGGAGATGAACCGCTTAGGAATGATGGTAGACCTGTCGCACGTGGCCGTGGACACTATGCACGCGGCCCTGAACGTGTCTGAAGCACCGGTCATCTTCAGCCACTCGTCTGCTTTCGCGCTTTGTCCTCATGTCAGAAATGTCCCGGATGACGTCCTCGTACGAGTGGTATGTTGAACTCGTACAGATGTAGGTCTCTGTTTGAGCAAGTAGTACTTAGCTTTGATTTAGTAAATGTATGCATATATCGATAGGACTTCATTTAACCGTTATTTTATAACTAGATCGATACGTTGTAAAAAAAGTCTCGTGTTTAAAATAACAGGAAACCAGAAGGATACCTTTGAGACCGACTTCGAACAAAGTGCTTATTCCTCAATGTCAGTTGCTCTTAGAACATTAATCAGGTCCGTCTTTTTCTGAAAAAAAGTAGACCTTTACCCATTAAAACTTTCATAGATAAAAGATTTACCCTGAGGGGACCTTTTCCCGGCAAAAAGGGGGTTCTAACCCCCACCCCCACCCCCCCCACCCCCCCCGTAAATGTAGGCCTACTTGGTTAATCTGAGTAGAGACATTTTCTTGTGCTAAAATTAGCATCAATACTACGTTAATGATTTTGATCATTTTACACGTGTTTGTACACAATTTAGATTAAAATCCGGAGTCTTGTCGATTTTACTACCTAGCAGTATTGTTCTTTTTGTTCTACAGAAAGAAAACGGCGGCATAGTTATGGTTAACTTCTACAATGATTTTATAAACTGTTCCTCTGAAAACACATATACAGGGGAACAGGACTGGAGACCCGCGGATATCAACCAAGTCATAGGTAAGCACTATATCTTAAAATGACTTTGCTGCGTCACGAGATACAGCAGGGGTCACCCGACAGTCGAGTCATAAACAGGCGCGACATATCTATCCTCTAATATCAGGGTCCACCCGCTTTCAACATTTTTGTAACAGACTACTAATATAGGCTTAGGAGTGCCCCACCGCGTCCCTTAAAACGTGAAATTTTTGACTGAAATATGTTTTGTTTCAAAGCTTGAAAGCTTTTGCGGTACACACGTAGAGACCAGATTTGAGGGAGTCGCTATTTCGGTGTCACTTACATATAAATAAAGCAAAAAATACATATTTATGTTGCAGTGTCAAACTACGATTATAACTTCCAAATTGTAAACGCCTCCATTATTTTTAATGAATTAAACATTTGTTAAGAAAATAGCATTATAAAAGTGTTTGTTTCGCTTTGTAACTTGAATCCAGATTTGTCGAAATGATAAGAAACCCAATGCTCTTATTAACCACGTCTTACTAATTCAGAACACATAGAGTACATACGCAATATAACCGGCGTTGATCACGTTGGACTAGGCAGCGACTTTGATGGGATAGACAGGTGAGAAAAGATGCTGAAATACAAAGTTTACTAATGGGAATTGAACAAACAGTCAAAGGTAAATTTTTATTTTACAGCGGATAAGAAAATGTGGGTTATAAATATAATATTTGCAGACGTCTAATAAGGTAAGACTCTAATGTCAATTTCGTCCCCTGCTCATGCTTTTGTCACAATTAAAATTGAACAGCTGGACAAGATGGCCACGTGCTTTTTACTAGTAACCGTAGTAATGTGTCTTATTTGTTGACAAAACCATGCAGCATACTGTGCAGGGTTTAAGGTTAAGTCAGCCAAGTATCTACATGTACGTATGAGGAAAATACCGAAACGAATAAACGCGCTAGGGACTCTTACTTGTTTAATGTATCCGTTGTCACAGAATGCAATATGAATAAGAAATACGTTTTTAATAGTAGAATTATATGTATTTGAACAAGAAAGTTAAAGAGAATTTTTTTTTATTTTCATTAACATTCCTTGATTTAAATAAAAAATACAAGTCCCGTGATTTATTCCCGTCGTCAGAAATATCACAGTGACTCTGTTATATTTTACTGAACAACACCGATAATACAAATGGAAATGCACCATTTCATTTAACGTATTGTGATCACAGGTATCCTGTCGGTCTAGAAGACGTGTCGAAATTCCCCAACATTCTCTACGAGTTGATGTCACGTGGTTGGAGTGAGGAAGAGCTGGAAAAACTGGCCGGGAAAAACTTTCTCAGGGTGTTCCGAAAGGTGGAGGAGGTGAGAAAAACGGGGTTTCTGTGTTTAAAGAAGCACCTTATTGTTTTTTCAACGAGTTCTACAGGGTACAGTTAAAGGTTTTCAACAGTTAGAATGCATGTGAGGGTTTTTTTTTTCGGAAAATGGCGTACATGGATGTGGCAAGCAATGAAAAGTATGCATACTTCTTCATACTGCTATGACAAATTGTAAAAGTTTATGATATAGGTAAAAACCGTCCAAGCCATTATATCCACGGCTGACAGGCTTCTGAATCACATGAATGAAATACATACATTGGCTACAGCAACGATGTGTTCCCTTGGGTACCGTCCCCTTGGACACCATCCCCTGTAATAAAGTGGGGCTGTGTAAATGTCCACATGGTACCTGTATGTGCTGGCGTTGCAATTTTAACTTTAAACATCAAAACAACAAATCAGAACGATCTCTACAAATAAAATTTATGGCACAGTCTCACCTACCTGTAAATACGCTCGCAATTTTTGTGCTCCATTTGACCTTGAGCGGCTGACTGGAATCAGTTGAAAAACTATTTGTTTCCAACTTTTCAACTTGAGTTGTTTACTTACTGACCTGCTGCTACACTTTAACTTTGTTCATAATTGATCTGAAGCTGAAAGCTTACTTCAGCCTCTCATTTCCGCCAAATGCATATATTTCGGCCTATTTAATTTCCAAAATCACGTAAATGCGTTGTTTTTTCCTTACAGGTAAAAATGTCCAAAGTGGATCAACCTGCATTTGAGAATCTTATTGATATTAATGAAATACCGGATCATAGCTGCATCAGCACAAACTGGGAAATATTTGGATGAAACTGAATTGTTATAATACGGTGGTGTCCATGTACACCTGTACATAAACGAACCGAACTGCTTTTATAAAGTTATGTTGGGATACGTTTCACGAAGAAATCAGATACATTGAAGACCAAACGTGAAATCTGATCTGATGGTTTTGATAAAGATATATGGCCGATTGTGTGCATTAATTGGGCAGATTCGATAAAGTAAGGTTCACAAGATTATAGCAGCTAAAACAAATAGGACGCAAAGACTGAGTATTACTTTCGCTCGAGTGTGCATTTCATTAATATTTGATTGAACATATTCCAGAAAGATTACATCGTCAACTCCTCACAAGTTAGTAAACATTTAATTGCCGTAATTCAGATTTATTAAAAGTATTTGTGTAGCCAAATGTTCACAAGCACAACAAAGCTCTGTTTTTTCTCAAAAGTAAATAAGACGTAAGACCATATGGCTGAATATTGTCATTTATTAAAAAGGAAGAAAACGTAATACAAAGTTACAAAAAAAAAAAAAAAAAAACGGGGAGATGATCAAAATAACATCAAGTTATCACACATGCAACCCACATACAATGGAGCATAAAGTTGGCGAAAGAGAAAAATGCCAACAAGATGTAAGAACTAGAGCCTCACATCCCTGCACTGTTATTTTCTAACTTGTATTACGCATGAACTATGTGGATGGAAAGTGTGTAGTCGGGTATGTCACTATCTACTAATTGGCTACCATGTCTCTGGCACTGCTGTTTCACGTAATATGTGGTGATTTCATTGGGTAGTACTCTTTGGGCTGGTCAAAGTATGGCTTTAACAGAGCAGGGTTCTGACAAAAAAGCCTCCATATTTCGACAACGGCTGCACAAAAAAAGATTTTCAAGTTTCGCATACAAGTGACCGGATTCACGGTGCTTGAACTGAGTGAAACAGTGTGTCACCACGGAGTTGGTTTGCGTCGGAATGGCGCCAAACGGATAGACATTGCCAGATAAATTATTGTGTCACAAGGAACAATCCGCACAGTCTTACAGAGGTATGACCACACTAGTGTACCTACACAGAGGCTACACCCAAGGCATTCCAAACTTATCGCCAGGAATTAGGACTCACTGTTCTTACGGATGTGCTGCTACAACTAAACAAATGTAACCAGTTTCCTCTCAGAATGGGGAGGGGGGATTGCCACTTAAAAGCGTTTTTTAAACCCTTTTGTGCGCGGACTGGATTTATAAGCGAATTTGTACCGGATGTAATCTAACGAAACCTCTGTGACTAGCGCAACGTCGTCTATTTCCGCAAAGAGTTTGAAACCATAAACGTTTCCGTGCACAGCACTGGAATTATATAGCTTATTATTGCGGTCAAATTTCATTTGTACCGCCGAAGTGGTCAGAATAAGAGTTAACAACCCTACAAAGAAGATTGTGTCACTCAGAGCGACTGGGGCGGTGGGAGTATATAGTGTTTGGAGTAGAATTTACGTTGGTGCCAAAGCAACCAACAGTATACATAGTATCTAGTAGATGGTTAACTGAACCACGCCAAATGCAGGAATATCCACAAGTACTGTATTCTGCCTACCATTTGCTAGAGGGCACCTTAGAAACGATTTTATGGAAAAGATGAAAATTCTGGTCTATAAAGAGCACTTGGTTTCGCAGAATACCTGCAGAACCAAAGGACACCAAGATCCCCAGATCTGAAGCCTATTTTTGGATAGTCATTACTAGTAAAATTAACCGCCTTCTGGTCCTTCAACACATCTGAACCTAATTGGACAAGCCCGTTGCCTGGGATAATATTTTAGACCCAGCTCTATGAAACATATCACAAGGAAAGTCTTGCCAATTTGGAGCCCTGGTATCTCCCAGGTTCAGGTATCAGACGCACCTCTGGCCGTTGCTGTGACTACACACCGAGATACAAACAACGCTTTTGATGGTTGCTAAATGTTATAGACTGCATTCCCACAGATTTAGATCGATTCATCTGGATCGACCTAACTCCCTGTGGGCTCACGCTAAATTGTTGCCAGCTCAAGAGCCTTAAATGCCTGTCACGCCTACCCAATCAGCTAGGGTAAAGATAATTACCCCCTAACAGCTTTACTATGCGTGAGAGACATTTAAGCCGGCCAAGTTGACAGCAATTTAGTGAGACTCCCCTGGGGGATAGATCGATCTAAATATCTATGGGACTGGTCTCTTAGAATCAGCCATGTATTTTTGTTTTAGGTGAATTCAAGCAAAAGCATGCTATTAAAATGGCGCTGAAGAGTATATGCACAGCTATCAAATTCTTGTTTTCATTTATCAGTTGGAAACATAGGGAAGAAAATCGAAGAAAAATAATTTGAAAAAACATAACCATACTAAATATCAAGTCTGTATGTAGATTGGTTATCGAAAACCACCATGAAGCTATGAACTTTATCTTTAAAAGTATGGAAGTTTGCTTGTCCAACAACATACCCTGTAAATTCGTAAATTAAGGAACAGAACAGCAAACATTTTTCATTTCATTAAATTCCCTTTAAACGCTCAATTCGGATAAATATCTTGAGGTACACAAGGACCACTCAGCTTTGATATAGAAGAAAATGAATTGCAGGGGGGGGGGGGGGGCTCTAGGCTTAATCTCGTAATCTGATTTCATTCGGCGAGAGGCCCCGCGGAGTTGGAAAGAACTTCTAAGACCGAAACGTTTATTGGGAATTAGTTCTAAGATTTGCATGCCATGTGTAAAGACCTACAGTTGAACCCAAAACCGTTGAACAATACAATCTATAAATCCCTACGGACTTCTAACTTATTAATATTATTATTAACACCGTTATTATAGTGAGAGTCTAAATATCCGTTACAATAATGACTCAAAATTTAGAAAATTGGATGTTATTTAAAACAATTACCTTTTGTATGAAAGCCCATTTTGTTGTTCTGACTTTTTGAAAATAGCAAACATGACGTCACTATAAAGCAATATTTTCATCTCTCTAGAGTGAAGCTAAATATTACTGTAATGCATGCAATCACATGTAGTATAAATTGCGTTAGAAAGGGTAACAAATTATTTATAAACAAGGCAGCTAAACTTTAAAATGTACAGACAAAAACAGAAAAATAATTATTGCAAAATAAGCTACATGTACTTTGAATTTTGAAGCAATGATTCATAATGGCTAACTGCAACAGCAAAGTCAATCAAATTGTAATTTGACACAACAGATAATATGACTGTAAGGAATGTTTAACTCGCATAAGGCCTCAGGCCAATGAGAGCCCAAGTTCAAACTTTAAAATGCCAGAATGAGGAAAAAGAAACTTTTTTTAACCAAAAATTGCATAAATCTAGGAAAAATTAATAATTCTATCAAGCTGGTTTTTCAGTGTGAGTTGGATGTCAATCCAAAGAATCATTATTGTAAGTTATAAAATAAGAAGTTCAACAGTTTTCATTTTATAATGAAAACTGTTTTGATACTATGTTACCTCACGATTAACAGCATAATCACCACCAAATTTAATTATACACTGCAGGTAACATATACGTTTAGAGATATTGATAAGCAAACGTCCATGGACATTTTAAGGCACACCTTGAAGGTGCCAATATGTGAAAAAAATTACATTTCACAAAAAACTGCATAACTTCCAGAAACGTTAACCAATTAGGCTGGTTAATCCATCAAGCTGTATTGTAGTCCTACAGTTCTTCTCTATAATTTTGACAATGGTGACTGACATAGTTCTTCTTAAATATTCACTATGGTGTTAGTGCCACAAATATATTTTTTTCAGTTTTGATACAGTATCACATCTTGTACTGCAGGTACACGTTACATTAATATTTAGCTCATGGAAGTTCAAAGTCACACCTTGAGAATGCCAATATTTGAACCAAACCAGTGCATAGTTTCACAAAAAATGGCCCGATCAGGCTGGTTTTCGAACTCGACCTGTATTTTAGTGATTTTGTTCACTCCTGAAAGTTTGAAGACAATAGGATAACCAATGTTTTGTGTTATCTGCATTTGTGTTATTTGTATCATGTACACTGAAAAAAAAAAAAACAACAACAACAGAAAAAAACACCATAACTTTTGCAAAATAGTCTGATCATTCAGATTTTCGAACTGAATTCTATTCATATTCATCGGTTCCGTAAGTTTGTGGGCAAAAGGTACAACGGTTTTCCACTTATCGTGTTAACACTGAAAGTGCACGGCGACGACGGCTACGACAGACGCAGGTGACGGCAATATGTACACATATCTGTGTCTCTACATAAAAAAAAATCAAAGGGAAAATTTTCAATAAGTTAAATAACGCAATGTTAAATACCAGTCCATTACAATTTTTTTTTTTTTTGGACTCACAACTTCATGCATTCGTCCCATTGTTATCTAATTCTGGCGTCATCGCATGGTCATCTTCAAAGGAGAGGCTATCCTCTAGATAAATACTCAAAACAAGCCATGTTATTGTAAATCATGCAAATAAAGCTTCTCATTAGCATATGTACATTCCCACTACCAGCTAACGACACACCGTAATTCGATTCATTAAACCTGCATTTTCATCGGATGAAAATTCTACATTGCAAATATTGCTAGAATAATTAACAATCAGCAAGTTTAATTAAATTTACAGATATATATATATATATACAAGGACCTACAAATTGGCCACTACCTACACTTAACCACATTTTTAGTCTTGTTGGCATTTTAAAAAAAGCAGCCAGTTTTTTAATATGTGAGGGTACATCTATTACAAACAAGCTTACGTATAATACAATGCATACAATGTCCTATGATTCCGATCCTTCCTTAACCGGTATTTACTAACGGCATCACTCTACTGTATATCGCATGAGAGTCCCGCTTATTCTCAACAGGCTATGTACCATCTAACAACTGAAAATTCAAAAATAAGAAAACATTACAATTCAGTTTATTTGTGTGACACTAGTAGTAAATGGAGTTCGTTTTTCAAACAATACGGTATGTTTTATTTTGGAACAAATAGGTAGTGGTACTATACGCTCTGATTTCTAACGAGACTGTTTTCAACAAATAACTACCGATCAAAGATATAAAACATTCTGCTACATACAACATATTTCAAAATTCCATGTGCTTTTATTGACAAATAATCACATCATTGGTGTAAACTGTTCTAAACAATGCTTTTTTATTCCAGATACCATAACTTACATGATTAATCGTT